ATAAAAAAGTCAAGTGTTTTTCGATAAAAACAAAAAAGTCAATCTTTTTTTATAAAAAAAAGGCTAATTTTTTTCAAAAAAAAAAAAGTTGATTTTTTCAAAAAAAAAAGATTTTTTCTTAAATAAAAAGTCAATTTTTTTGAAAATAAAGAAGAAGTTGAATTTTTTTTTCGAAAGTTAAAAGTAGTCAGTTTTTTTCGAAAATGAAAAAAAGTCGTTTTTTTCGTAAATTGAAAAAATTTGATTTTTTTCAAAAATAAAACCGATTTTTTTAAAAATAAAATTTGATTTTTTAGAAAACAAAAAGAAATCAATTTTTTCAGAAAAAAAATCGTTTTTTTCAAAAATTAAAAAAAAAACGATTTTTTATCGAAAATAAAAATAGTCTATTTTTTGAAAAGTAAAAAATAGTCGATTTTTTTTCAAAAATAAAAAAAAATCAAGTTTTTCTGAAATAAAATAATTAATTTTTCTTAAAATATAAAATTTAACTTTTTTCGAAAGTAAAAATAATCAATTTTTTCCGAAAATAAAAAAAAATGTTTTTTCAAAAAAATTGATTTTTTTAAATTAAAAAAATTAATTTTTTTAAAATAAAAGAATTATTTTCAAAAGTCTTAACTTTTTTAAAATGTTAGGATTTTTAGACCTTTTTTTAAATTTTAAATATCTTTATTTAGGGTTGATTTATCTTTAAGATTTTAGACCCAGTATATTTTTAAGGCCTTAAATCTTAAACTCCAGACCCCCTAATTTGACAGTTTTATTATCGCATTATGTAAATATAAATATAAATATAAATATAAATATAAATCTAAATATATATATATATATATATATATATATATATATATATATATATATATATATATATATATATATATATATATATATATATATATATATATATATATATATATATTTGCATCATGGGATAATAAATGGAGTATTTAACTTGTCACTTTCAAATTGTATCTAACACTCCCTTAAATTTAGTGAATTGATTATATTAACTTGCAAACTTTTCAATCATTTTTAAATTCAATTTAGAATTTGTGCAAATTTTAAAAAATCAATATTCAAAAATCCAAAGTCTATTCGAAATTTTGAAAATAGTAACAAAATTTTGGAAAATTTATATTTTCCGTGAAAATCCTTTAAATGGAATTTCAAAAATTCTGTATTTTTAAATGCACTTTTTTCAAGAATTTCATAATTCTCAATATGTATTTTTTTGAAAATTTTTAAACTTGCTGAAGTTTTAAAAAAATAGATTTTTTTTTTTTTAAATTTTAGAATTTTCGGTGAAATATTTGAAAATTTCAAAATTTTCAAAATATAATTGATATTTTGATTATTTTTTCGTTTTTGCAGTGAAATATAGAAAAAATGATGACATCATTAGGGCCACACAGATAGAGCGGCAGCTCAGATTATGGCTGTTGAGGCCGAGCCTTCCCAATTACGGGTTGAATAAGTAATTCCAATCGGTGTTTAGGTAGGAGCAGTTCATCTATGAGACTGCAGTTATTATGAATAATCTCATGAATTTGGTGAATTCATCTAAGTTGCTTATGTGGTTGATGAGGTGGTCGATCCAGATGTCTATATCCCTTACGAGGTTGTAGTTATTATAAATAACCTCATGAATTTAATAAACTCATATGGTGAGACTTTTATTGAATTATCACGAGTAGCACACATAGCCCATGGAGGACCTATTTAGACATTATCATTATTTTCATGTATTATTTGTATATTATGTGTAACATTACTCAGACATCTACACAATACTTTTTTATTAGATAACATTTTAGATCTTCCTTTGATGCATGACGAACATAATTTAACATTTGACTAAGGGGTGCATAACTTAGACAGACAATTACATAATTTTAAAAAATAATAATAAATACGAAAATTTAAACACTACCAGATGATTCTAGAAGTTTCAACATCTTAATATTTTGTCGAAAAATCTTGAAATCTTCGCATCTAACTCGATCGGCTCCTTAGTTAGCCTACGGCAAAATGATCTTCACTTAACCGTCAAATCTTCACCATTGTTCTTCAACTCTATAAGGTTGTATTTCACTCTTCCATTAGTATCAATTCAATCTTCACGAAATTCGATCTTTCCAAATGATCTTCACTTAACCGTCAAATCTTCACCATCGCTCTTCAACTCTATAAGGTTGTATTTCACTCTTCCATTAGTATCAATTCAATCTTCACGAAATTCGATCTTTCCAAATGATCTTCACTTAACCGTCAAATCTTCACCATCGCTCTTCAACTCTATAAGGTTGTATTTCACTCTTCCATTAGTATCAATTCAATCTTCACGAAATTCGATCTTTCCACCTTTCTGTTATCAGTATCAAGCAACAATTCATTCAACCTGGATGTCAAGGCAGCGAGAGATGTGTTGTCATCCGGAAGGCAAAACTCTACATGAGGTGCAACTTCGTTGAAATACACTTCTACTTTAATTAAAAATTGAGTAAGAAACTGATCCGCGGTCGCTCGCGGATCAAAAACGAGTTTGTTGTAAGAAATGTTAGTATAGCGACAGTGACTCGAAATATCGTTCTCAAAAGGATTCTTGTAGTGATTGACCAATAAAGTAATAATTTATGGGGGTTTGAATTTTGATTAAGAGAAAAAATACTAAAAATAAGTGATTATAAAAAATATGATTATTAAAATAAGATAAAACGGCTAATCCTACTGATTCGGGTTCCGACTTATCATCGACTATTATAACATCAATCCCTAAACGGCTCCAATCCTATTCGATTATGATATTAATCAGACAAGCGCTTACCAACATCAAATGAATTATGTTCCTGTTTACCGAATTAAGCAAACGGTTAAGAATATGACGAATTAACGAATTAAGCAAACGATAACACGCAATTAAATTTAGGAACATGCATACAATCGAATTTAATCAATTTTATCCTATGAACAACAATTGAATTAAGCAAACAAATGCAATCAAATTAAGCAAATGACTTCATAGAAAAGGATTGAAAGGAATCAGATTTAAATTGATATTATAATAACCTCAAAGTGTTGAAACCATACACAGCAGGATTTGCCCGGAGGTATTAGTTTTCCATGAGTTCTTCTCAAAGGTTTTTTTTTATTTTTTCGTGAATAGTGAATAGGATTTTTTTGGCTGTACAGCCAGACCTAGACTAAAGAGGATAAAAACCAGAATTCGGGTCATAACCCAAATGGGTCGAAAATATAACCCAGACCCAAAACATGACCCAAAACTAAAACAAATTCCTAATGTTGTAACTTCAAACGAAATTCTGGAATTTTGGGCTCTGAATCTGACTTCGACTCCAACACGAAAGTTGTAGCTCTCTCTCTTAGCTTTCCGGCGATTTTTAGAATGCCTCAAACGGACTCCCGGAACTCCAGTTATGATTTTTCTCGCGAAAGCTGCTAAAGCTGAAAAATAAATACGAAAAACAATTAAATGCAAAAATAAAATAAAATATAAAAACACGTTAAAACATAAAAATAAATAAATAAAATCAAAGAAATGCTTGAGTACAAACATGGAAGAACGTGCATCAAAATGCACTGATCAGAAACATTCTGAGATGTTTTTCTCAACAAGAAGTGACTCTATTTATACAACTTTAAATTAAATTCATTCTGGAGCACACAGACCGGTCGTTACAATCACAACCGTCCAAAATTGCCGACAAAATTTTAACTGTTTGAAATCTTATAAAATTGAACTAAAGAAAATTTCACTTTAGTTGATATTTTCGATATAGCATAGTAATTTTTAAAAATACAGTTAAAATTGCAAACGTTAATTATTAAAAATTCCAAAATACCAAAAATTCTAAATACTCTGCCAAAAATTTTAAGTGTACTAGAAATTTTGTACGCAAATTTAATTCAAAATTTTAGCAAACACTTCAAAAGTTATGAAGGAATGTGTGATAAAAAAAAAGGGTTGGCATGTTAAAGACTAAAAAAAATGGCACAAGAACAATCGCTACTGGTTCAAAAAGAGGGTGAAAATTTTCCTATCAAGAGAAGAGGTAACAAGCACAAGGAGAAGTTTTCAATGGAATGAAGATAATAGGGGGGCTCATCGATATGTCGCAAAATAAAAAATAAAAAAATATATTGAATTTATCGACCATGATGAAACAGCAAACACAATGGATGAAATAAAACAAGAAAAGAATCAAAGAAAACAAAATTAATGCTCTAAATGATGGAACTTTCTGAGAAAATAAATGAGAAAAACTCGTAATATTGAAAAAAGGAACAAGATACAAACCTTCAATGCAGGAAGCGCTGAACATTGTTAGATAAAGAAAGAAATTATTGAAAAAAAATTACAGAAATTAACCAGACTAGGATTTAATATTAACAAGAGAATCAATCATAAACTGAATGCACCTCGTTGGTTTTGCTTCACAGAAAATTGAACTTAAATTTCATATATATGTTTAATAACATTTCGACTATTAATAGACCACTTTATTTTTTAAAAGAAATAGAAAAATCTATTTAGAAAAAGACAGACGAAATTTATAGTAGGTTTCATCATCAAATGAATCCCACCAGAATTCATAGTAGGTTTCATCATGAAAAGAATCCAACCACCAGTATTCATATCTCAACAATGATGACATCCCATGGCCAAAAGAAACAGGGTCATTTCAATGCAAATGCAGGTTTTATTTGCTGGTTCACACCACAGCTGAAGAGGGCGTGCAAGCAAATCAAAATCACATACCGCATCAAACCAAACAAACAACTTTATGTTCCAAATTCAAGTCATAATAATAATAAATACCAGCAATCAAACATGCCTTCAACCAAAGGAAGGAGATCCAAAAACTGAAGATACCTAATCTAGTAAATAAAACAACTCAATCTGAAATTCGGATAAAAGCCAATGCCGGAAAGATAAATAGTCATTCACCAAGGAAGTAAATCCCAGCAGAACAAATAACTTAAGAAACAAGGCTGCTGTCATTTAGGGACAGTGAGGACAACTGATCAGCAGCACCGCCAGCCTGCTGCTGTGCAACATTCCTAAGGACGTCCATTGCTTCTGCCACCTTTGCTTTCAGTGCTTCTGGTGACTCAAGCAAGTGCAGAACTTCAGTCTGGTCCATCTCCAGAAGCATGCCAGTAACTTTAGCAGCGTTGTCGGGCTCCAACTGTTCCACAAGTGGGTAGAGATTCTCACCCAGCATCTGCAAATATACAACCAACAAACAGTGGTCAGTTAAGGATGCTAAAATGTGTAATGAGTAGAGCTCCGGATAAAACTAAACCTAAACCTAAATCCCCAAAGAATCTCCGTTCCTCGCCCCCATCTCCTGCTGGGATGAAGAATTAAACTCAAACTCGTCCCAAACGGATTCAGTCTCCCCGGCCATCCACTATTCACGTAGTGGAATTAATTTTTTTAATATAAATATTTCATCTTCCCAACATCGTATTACATTACAAATAGTAAAATAAAGCAAACTCGAAAATTTTCATACATACATTTCAAATAATAATGTACAAACCAAAACATAAAAGCATTGATCATATATTTAATATTCCAAATTTATCAAAAGTATATAATGAAATAAATGGAACAGGTTCAGGGATAGGAACCAGTGTCCCCATTACCCGACTCATCCCCATATTTTGCAATCGGAGAAAACCTAAACTCAGTCAAAGTGGGTTTCCCACGTCAAACCCGGGTGGGTCTCCGCGGTACGTGTTATGTTGCCATGGCTAGTGACAAGCTGTTAGTAGACCAATGGGTTCACTTATGTGATTAGGTGTGTGTATCTAAATAAAATTAGGATGAAAGAAATGCCATCAGATAATTTTTATTTTAGGTACAACGAGATACTAGGATCCCTAATTTCCAGTGATTGGTTTCTGTATTGTTACAGCAGTTACCAATATTAGTATAGTTTCTGTTTTATGTTTACTTTTGTAACCGTCTTTTTGGAAGTTATTTATTATCAATTGCAGATTCTGTTTTAATGTTTTGTTATTATAACTGTCCCTTGGGAAGTTTATACCAACTGTAACATCTATTATCCATCGATATCAGGTATATTCCATACAAGCTGCAGTAGAAATTCAGATATCTAACAAAAGCTTACCGTCCTCTGCTGCTCTGGAGATGCATTAGCCAGATGAGAAGCCAAAGCACCAATGGGAATTTGTTGTGGAAGTGATGCATCACGAAGGGGCATCCCACCCACATCATAAGGTACAGAATACAAGCCTCCAGCAACTCCAGGCATGGGACCATCAGGCATGCCCCTACCAGAAGGATAGCGATACACACGCCCCCTAGGAAGCATCTGTCAATCCCAAACTTAATAGGTTAGTGATCAAAAAAGGAAAGATGACCCACAAAATTACAAACACTAGCTGGAATTCCACCAACCTGTTGTGGCATAAGAGGAACTGGCTGCTGAGACTGCTGGACTGCACCTCCACGTCTTCCACCAGGACGCTGCCCTTGCTGTCCCTGCTGAACCATTGGCACAAAGAAATTTGGCACAGGACCCCCACCAGGCCTCATTCCAGGCACAAGTTGTTGTTGATACCCAAATCCAGCCTGAGAAAAATGCCAATGATGAACTTAAGGACAAATCAGAGGGATAATATTTGTTGGGTGCACTGCTAAAGTTTAAAAGATAAACTGGCTTACCTGGGAAGGAATGATGGCAGGAGGGCCTTGACCATAAAATATTTGTTGACCCATACCTGGACCACCTGGGGGATACATAGGCATGCGAGGAGCAACAGATGGGGGCATCGCAACAGGACGCATTTGAGCAAATTGAGCCTGCATGAACAATTGAGCCCAAAAAATGAAAATTAATATGGTCCTATCAACTCAATAACCAATCAGATGTTAAGAAAGGCACAACATCATCAACTCCCTCTGTTTCCCACTGACTGACCACTTTAGTAAGGAAATGTGTTTCAAACCAAATGTAACTTTCACTATTCAATGTAGAATAAATTATTATTTATCCAATTGTACCCTCTAAGATTACTATGCACTCTACTTCCAAAGAGTTAAATTCCATTTGGCATTTACTATGGTGGAAGGCACCGATACTTAATAAGGTTAGTTCAATAAAAACCTTAAGCAATACTCATTTTGAAACAGAAGGAGTATATAGAAGTAGTGTATATATAATGTTTAGAAGGTTGCATATGATGAGAGAAATGGTAAAAGTTTAATTCTGCATTTTGGATTACAAATCATCTAAAAATAAAAAATCATGGATTTTATTTTAAAGTAATAAACCATAAAATTATAAGAAATCAAGTAGGAGAGTAATTTAAATTACCAATAAAATGACAAGATTAAATCATAAACAAATATGATTTGAATTAGCTATTAAATGACAGTATTAAATCATAAACAAATATGACCATATTATATAGATCAGAGACAAGATACAACTAAGAGGCTAAATAATAACAATCTATAAGTGTGCCTAATACCAAGGCCTTGATTATCATAAAATGGTTGAATATGAACAAAAATATATAACAGATTACACCTGAGTTTAGTAAGAGTTGCCAGGATGTATTAAGAGCAAAAAATAAAGAGACCGGTTCAAACTGATTTACTACCACAAAATCATAAAAAGTTATGCTGATTTGAACATGTTTGCAACAATTCTATTATCTAGTTTTTTGGTCAAACACCTAAACAGATCAAAGGTTTTCCATTTGCATCCACAGGTGTGGTTTGTTTTTTCTAGTATGGGAAGGCAATAAATAATTGCGCCTACACATACCTGCAGCCTAGCTCTTCTATCTTCTTTTCGTTGGGCCAGAGTCACATACAGAGGCTTGCTTACCACCATTTTGCCATTCATCTCCAAGAGCTAACAAAACAAAAAATGGCACAATATACCAACAAAGAAAATCAGTTCCAGCCTAAAAATCCACCTGTTTTATTATTCAACAATATACCATACAACTTACTGCTCTAGATGCCTCCTCAGGAGTAGAGAATGCAACGAACCCAGATCCTCGACTTATGCCATTGGGGTCTCTCATTACCTTTCAAGTGAAAAGAAAGCAACATATAGATTATGTACCTGGTGCATATACGGTGAGAAGCCAATCAAAGCAATTATACATACCTTGCAAGAGGTAATTGTACCAAAAGAGGAGAACAGCTCCTTAAGTTTCTCATCAACAATGCTATCATCCAAATTTTTGACATACAGGTTTGCCCCTTGATATTTATCAGCAGCTTCTTTCATGCTCTGCTCAAATTTTTGTTTCAGTTCATGCTCCCTTTCAGATTTCTTTTGAGCTTTTCCAACATACCATTCCTTGTCATCAATCTTTTTCCCATTAAGAGCCTCAACAGCCCTAGCAGCATCATCGGTACTCTCAAAGTTTACAAATCCAAAACACTTTGATTTCCCATCCCCGTCCCTCATTACTACAGCACTGGTAATTGTTCCAAATTCCCCAAAAATCTGCTTCAACTCATCGTCGGTGGTTGTTTCCGATAGATTCTTAACAAATACATTGTTGAATTTTGCCCTGTCAGTTGTGGTTTCTCTCTCTTGCTTGCGAAGGAAGGGTCCCACATAAACTTGCTTATCATTCAACAGCATACCATTAAGCTTTTCAATAGCTTTTTGAGCAGCCTCCTCACTATCAAACTGAACAAAGCCGTAGCCTTTTGATTGGCCAGATCCATCCACAGCAACCTTGCAAGAAAGGATACTCCCAAATGTAGAAAAGGTATCATGCAACGCCTTATGGTCAATTGCCTTGTCCAAATTCTGCAATAATTATTAAATTAGAAAGATTCAAAATAGTTCAAACAGATCAAACTAGGATATGCAATCCAGAAGCTTAGCATGATTTTTTCCATTATGAGACAGGGAAGGAAGAACCAAGATAGTTATACCTTAATAAATATATTTCCTTGACCACTTTTGCGGATACTGGGATCACGGTGCGAATACATAATACGAATGGGCCTATTGTTCAGAGGAGTGAAGTTCAGAACATCCAATGCTCTGGCAGCTGTATCCATACAGCAGATATATTATGAACACCAGATATACAAAATGCATGGATACCAACAACAATAAAATAAAAGATTGCATTACTCAAGAGAATAAAAACAGAAAGATATGCACAAGAAGGTTAAGTCAATGGCAAGTTATAATCACATCATACAAACTTTCGTGATATAAAGATAGATAATGAAAACATACTGCTGTACAATAGTCCTACTAGCCAATGACACTAATATTGAGTGTAACAAAACACACAACATTCCACTACTTTAATATTCCATATGATGTGTTACTGATAAACTCATATTGCTGATAACAAATAGAATCCTCAGCTGACAAATTCTCATATGCTATATGACATGTCTATAACATTATAGTTACCACAACAAGAGGATGACAAAAAAACCAAAAGTAGATTGACAAATGATTGGGAACACCTGTAGTGCTAGAGAATTAAGCTAAATCAACCAAAAGAGAGCAATAGAGATAAACAAAAATCATAGAATTTTTATATCCAGCTCCAATTAAAAGTATGGAATCCATCCCTTTGTAAAGCTATCAACATAAGAGTCATACACACTATATATGCAGGTCTTTGACTGGTATGCAAAATTTGCAAGAACTACATGAATCTAGCTCAAAATTATTCATATTTGCATAACAGTCACTGCCTAAAAAATTCAGTAACTGTTGGGGTGACCAGCATTTCTTATAGTGTTTGAAGTAGAGTTATCGCAGGATTTCTACTGCAGTATTCGATTAACAATTACTTTTCACACTACTTAGTAAGTAACTTTTTTGACATAAAAATACAAAGGTTATATCAGTCATCAAGTAGTGCAAGCATCTGCTCGAAAATGTGTTAGTTAGATTTGTGGAAAAGTATGTATACAAAATCAAACTAACAGTATTACCAACAGAAGGGGATTGACAATAATACAGATACTAATTACATAACCAATGTCCAAAATTCTCATATAACCCTAATTCGGAAACTAAAAATTGATTAGTAAAATTAATCCTTTCTACAATCCTATTTCTTAATCAACAAAAAGATAATTCACAGTAATTGAACAAACCAAAAGCGGAAAACAGCAAGCAAATTAACTGACCATCTTGAGGGTTGCTATAGTTAACATAACCATAACCAAGTGACCTCCTAGTGGTCAAATCCCTGCAAACCCTAACAGACACAACCTGACCCAATTGGTTGAAAAGATCATAAAGCTGAGAATCCGTAACATTGACATCAAGATCTCCAACGTAAAGTGAAGTCGTCACAAACTGATTCCCACCAGCCGCTGCTGCAGCCGCCGCCGCAGCAGCAGCAGCACCGTTTGGACCCGACATCGCATTCTGAGGCTGAACCTGAACCTGAGCCATCTCAATTCCTCAACAAAAACGATCAAATTTAGGTTTTTTTTTCAAAAATTTCCTAATTTCCCCGAAATTTTTTTCTTTTTTTCTCTTCCCCCTCCTCTTGTTATTGATAACAATAAAACCTAGGAAGAACAGAAAAAAGAAGCGATAAATCGACAGAGGAACGATAAATATTTTTTTTTTATTTTGATTTGGGGAAAACGAGGAGAGGGAAGCGAATGGAAAAGAAATACGGAAAAAGATAGGAAATAAAATAAAAATAAATAAAAAGAGACGGAAGAGGTAGCAGAGCAAGAGCACTGCGGTGAGGAAAGAAGTAAAAACGGTGAAGCGAGAGTATAAAAGGGACGGCGAGTGAGGGTAAACCCTAGCACAATCCAACGAGGAGATCTGGGCCGTTGAATGGGAAAGGGTGTGGGGTCAGGATGGATATGGTAGATAAGGATTGGGAATTTTGGCGAAGGAGAAAGGTAAAGGTTGATGAGAGAGTTAAAATGATGAAGTGGTGTAAGTAATAACCGGTAAAAGTAATGAAGAAAGCCGGTTAAAGCATAGTAGCTGTGAGTTTTTGTATAGCGTATTTTATGGAGTTGGTTCCTCTCATTTTTTATATTTCATAACATCTTTCATATTTCTAATTTAATAGTTTCGAATTTATAATAAATAATTAAATAACAAAAACAAATTACTTATCCATTTCTCTTTCTTATTAAATGATTTTTTTATTATTTAATTATTTATTATAAATTCTGAAACGTTAAATTAGAACATGAGAGATGGTCTGATATATAAAAAATTAGAGGATCCAAATCTGTATTTTATTTATTATAATTAATTCATTATTAAAAAAAATATTGCAAATAAATAAATATATATATATAATAAAAGAAAATGAGACGTCGTGAAAAATTCAATTTTGCCATAATCTAAATTTTTGGCATACTTGTAAATGTGGTTTAAAATTTACTTTATTAAACCAAGTTTGCTTTAGAACCAACTTAGTTAGTCAAGTTAGCCATTATTTGCTTTTTTGTTCAAAGTCAATTGAAAACATGTGATAATTTATTGTCCTAACATCCATTTCCTTTTTTTCATATCGCATTTCAGAAACAATCTATGTTTTCACTTTTCCATTTAGTTTCCTCTCTCTCCTTCTTTTCATAAGTATGTTTCCTCTCTTTTTACTCTCTCCTTATTCCTCATTTTTCTTCATCTTCTTACTGTTTTTCATCTTCTTCTTCCTATTCTTTCTTCATCTTCTCACATCTCATAAACACCTTTGACATTTGTGTGTCTTGCTTTTTTCGAAAATGATATCTTCTCTCTTCCACTGCCTATGTCTTCCTATTCTTCTTTCTTCTTTTCCTATTCTTCAACAAAAACAACTGGGTTGTGGGACAATTTACAGAAATATAGAAGTCAGAGTTTTTTTAGATTTTATACTCTTTTGTTTTTACCTAAGATGGTTGGTGTGTTGCATGAATGGGGAAGATGGTGGCGACTGTGATGTTTCCAGCAATTTTACAACGATGTGTGGTATTGCAGTGGTAGATCTGTGGTGGATCTTGGTAATAAAGGGGACTTGAGGTATGGGTTTGAAGCATTGAGTTTTAAATGTTCTTCGACAACTCCTCCCAACAGCCTTAACAATGAATTTGGGATGTAAAAATGATCCAATTTAACTGCATATATCAGTTTGATTTTTTTTACTTTTTGAATTTTTCACTATTTTGATTCATATTCATGGATTTGTCATTGGTATATTCTATGATTACTCTGGTATGCAAACCAATATCGATGATTTTTCTATTCGTTTCATTTGTTGTTGTTGTTGTTAGTATTATCTGTAAAGAATGTTTTAATAGCTACTTCAACTAAACTATGTTGAAATGGAAATTTGGAATGCATAAAAACTCTTTATCTTAATTGCAGAACCTATTGTATCCATTTGATCCATTGGTATTACTATATAGAATGTCGTTAGATTCCACTCTGCTGCTCAAGCATGTACCCTTTATGGAATATCTATGGATGCATTCTGGAACAGGTAGATTTTTGTCCTCCCTCATTTAGAATGACCCTCAATATTCTTAATAAATTTATTTTTTCAAATTATTATCAATATGTCAATGTCGGTGTCGTGTCCAATTTTCATTGTCCTTTTTTATTTGATAATGAACTTAAATATATTTGAGATGTGAAAATAAATATTATGAATTTGACACAATCATTTATATATATGTATATTAATATGGATGTTGGTGTCTGCATTAAAAGGGTCATGGGATGCTCTATTTGGTGGTAGTAATTTGTCGGCATTTGTGGTGGGTGCGGTGGGGGTTGTCGTTAGTGCTGATTGGCGATATTGTTGTTGTCGTTAGTGAAACCAGATGATTAGGACAAGGTTAAACTTGTTGTTGGCGGTTTTCAATAGTATAAGGGGACTTACATAGGTTTTATTTCTATTTTTGCTTCCATCCATGTGAAAAATATAAAGTTTGTAGAATTTTGATTTGAAACTTGTGTGTAATATATATATATATATATATATATATATATATATATATATATATATATATATATATATATATATATATATATATATATATATATATATATATATATATATATATATATATATATATATATATATATATATATATATATATATATATATATATATATATATATATATATATATATATATATATATATATATATTTTGATTTGAAACTTGTGTGTAATATATATATATATATATATATATATATATATATATATATATATATATATATATATATATATATATATATATATATATATATATATAGCAAGAATGAATAAATGGTTAAATGTTTACCACGAGTTTTTATTAACACGCAATTGAAACACAAGAATGCCACTACTGATATCAAAGTAGACACAACGTCTAATGTAAGTTTATACTATTCTTTATTGTATGCGATTTATTTTTTGTTCCTTGTTCTGTTTGTGGTTGATACACGTGTTTTTCTATCCATGTGAGGTGTGGTTTCAACATAGTTTATATGTTTGTGTGACTTTGTTATACATTAGGGTGTAAAATAGTTCACGACAATGTCAAATAACCTCAATGTTCATTCAATAAGTGAGAATTCTTTGTTACAAGTTGCACAATGGTGGCAGCAACGATTTTACGATGGTTATGCATCAGCGCATTTATATACATGATGACTATTTTATATAATATTTGTTGTGAATCGGATACCTTTAAATAAAGTATAAACAGTTTCTTAATGATCAAGAAACACACAAGAGTTAGGGTTAATAAAGAAGAAAACAACAAGGATTTGTTATTAAACTGATATTCTTTCCTTTTCTCTTCAGTGCGACTCCCATTCGCGAGACCCCGAGGGGCAAAAACCCATATAATTTACTAGCAAGGCCCTACAAGACCAAAAACTCAAATACCAGCAAATTAAAAATGTAGCTTTGGCCCTCATCAATTCGCCGAGAAGATTGAGACACTACTTCCTAGCTCACACGACCGTGGTGCAAACTGACCAACCCATAAAGCAATACTCAGCCATTCCGACATGGCTGGAAGAATGCTCAAATGGTCACTAGAACTCTTTGAATTTGACATTTGGTACTAGAGTAGAAAGGCTCTTAAAGCTCAAGTATTAGCCGACTTTGTGGCAGAAATAACAACGTCTGCCCCCCGACAAATAGAGCCCAAAAGTGGACCATCTTCGTAGACGGAACATTCAGCTCGACGGGAAGCGGAGCATGAATCATCCTTGAAAACGAGGAAGGAATCCTGATCAAAGTTTCCCTCACCATATCCTTCCTAACCTCAAATAACCAGGCAGAGTACAAAGTCTTCCTCGCATGGTTACGCTTAACTGAAGACTTAGGAGCTAAAAAGGTAAAAATCTTCATTGATTCCCAGCTCGTCGCCTCTCAAGTACTAGAAGAATATCAGGTCAAGAACAACAATCTCTCTGATTACTTAGCTCTGGTTCAAGAAAGAATAACAAAATTTTATTCCGCTATAGTAAAACATGTCCCTTGCGAGCACAACACCCAAGCAAACATCATGTCAAAACTCACAAGAAAACATCCTGTAAATTCCATTGGCGATAGAGACTGCTGGATGACCTTGATATATAACTACCCCAACATCGGAGAAGTACCCCTCAACTAGAAAGAGGCTAACGTGATCAGTAGGCATGACAAGAAAACCCGGGGCCCCGGGGGCCTGCCCGAACCTGACTCGAAATTAATGGGGGAAACCTGATTTAATTGGGTGCGGGTGCAGAGAAAACTCAGTTTGTAATTACGGGTGCGGGTGTGGGGGCAAGGGGATGCTACTACCCGCACCCACCCTCGCCCCGCCCGATCTTATGGTATTCACTTTAATACATATATTTAAATTATTTTATCACACTTTTATTCACTTTTGGATAAGTAATTGAAAATCCTCATTAGTCATTTCTCACCATTCACTCAAACCCTCATCTTTAGAAACAAGTTTATTCTTAAAATGGTCAAATTTTAAATAAAATTATTAATTTTTATTACTATTTAAAAGAAATCATTTTTTTTGCGAGTGGGGGCGGGTGCCGACAAACCCGTTTCCATCGGGGGTGGGTCTGGATGATAAATTTTCACCCCGACTGGGTTTGGGGGCGGGGGCGGGTCTGTAATAGGGAGACGGGTGCGGGCGTGGGGCTAGTAAAACTCGCCCCCTCCCCGCCCCATTACAATGCCTAATGATCAGGCGCAGAGCTTGTGCTTATGTCTTGGTCGAGGATAAGCTATATAGATGGGGACTTTCCATCCCTCTCTTCAAGTGTGTCGAGGAATCCAAGGTCGCCCACATCCTACATGAAATCCACGAAGGAATCAACGCCCAATACTTAAAGGAAGATCTTTCGCCCGGAAGGCCCTGCAAGTAGGATATTACTAGCTCACCATGTAACACGACACAAAAGAACATGTTAAGAAATGTGATAAATTCC